TAAGCGTCTTTCTGCTAGGATTCCCAGCCTCTCCCTATGGAAAGTTCGAGGCCCCTCCGAGCCCCTATCCTGCCCTCCGCCCCCCTTCCCTTCCTTTCTCCCCCTAAACACTGACCAGCCCCCCCCCCTCGGAAAGAGAAGGGCGGCGGCGGCAACGGCTGCACCTCCTGAGCTGGGGGGTGAGAACGCGAAGAGGCGAGGCTGCGTTGGCGCGGGGGAAGGAGATGAGCGTTGCACTCCTTCCCCTGTTCCACTGACTCAAAGAGGCGGAGAGACCCAGACTCTCCCCATCCAGGCGCTCCGAGCGGAGATTGGTCGAGTCTGTGCTCTCTCTGCCAGGAGCCTGGCTCGGCTTCAGCCACGTGATAGGAAAGGGAAAAAAGTTTACACTTTAAAGAAAAAAGCAATGGGCGCATGCGTCCTCCCTCCCCGAGCCTGGAGTAAAAGCTGGCAACTTTAAATGGGAGGTTTTGAACACAACAGTCGCTCTCTTTGAAGAGAGAGAGAGAGAGAGAGAGGGAGCCAAATATAGAGGTATGGACGGGTGAGTATTATTTGTTTTAGAGATCTTGCTGGGAAAGGAAAACTTCGGAAGGTTAAGAATAAGAATTGGGGAAGGGAGGAAACAACAGAGGAATTTCTGGGCAGGAAAACCAGAGAGAGAAAGGATCTCAAGGATGAGAAGTAGAAAGAGGAAAGGGGGGGGGAACTGTGGTTGCCCATCTTATTCCCCCCCTTGAAATGCTTGAAAATATTTTCAGATGATTTTGTTGAGCAAACTCGGCCATGCCAGTGCTAAATTCCAGGCCCTTTCCTAACCTTAGGGAAAATTAAGATCCTGAAGGGACTGTCTCGGGCGGCAGAAGGGAGAGGGTCAGCCCTGATGGCCCCCAACCTTCCCTCCTGAGCCCTCCCCCCCCCCACGGCTTTTCTCTTCTTGGGCCTGCACAGCTTACACTGCTGCCCTCTGTTAGAGCCAGCCTTCCCTCCTCCACGGTTGGAACTGGGAAATTTTATTAAGAGAAAAAAAATGTGGAAATCTTAAGAATATACACACAGTGTTAAATTGATGCCTAGACTTTGGAAAGGAAAAAAATGTGGACATCTTAAGAATATATACACAGGGTTAAATTGATGCCCAGACTTTGGAAAAGAAAATTACGCTTTCATGAAGATCTCATCCACTGAGAAAGAAGCACAATGGATGCTTAATTTTAAAGTAACAAAGCATAAAAGAAACTTGAGGAGAAGGCTTATGATTGGGGCGCTTAGGGTGGAGAATGGATTTGAATACAGTGGTGCCTCGCTAGACAGTTATCCCGAATGACAGTTTTTTTGTTGGCCTCGCTAGACAGTTATCCCGAATGACAGGTTTTTTTTGGACATTGACTTTTTGCAATCGCTATAGCGATTCACAAAACAGTGATTCCTATGGAATGGGGGAATTTCGATGGACAGTGTTTGGTCCCTGCTTCGCAAACAGATTTTCGCTACACAACGATTTTGAAAGCTCCTTCCACACTCACAAAACGGGTGTTTTCAGGACCTAAGCTTCGCAAGACAGCTGTTTAAACAGCTGATCAGCGGTTCGCAAAGCGGCTTTCCTATGGCCGATCTTCGCTAGACAACGACAATTCTTCCCCATTGGAATATATTAAACAGGTTTCAATGCATTCCAATGGGGAAATGCTTTTCTCTAGACAATAATTTCGCTAAACAGCGATTACAGTGGAACAGATTATCATCGTCTAGCGAGGCACCATTGTAGTTTCAATTAGGGAGGGGGAGAGGCTTCCTCTTCCCCGTCTCTTGATAGTCCCAAGCGCATGGATTGGTGGCTGTCATGGCCCTACATGCTTGTCTCCCACCTCAGCCTTGGGATTTATTGGAAGCCGCCCAGAGTAGTCAACCAGACCAGATGGGCGGGATACAAATCAAATCAAATCAAATCAAATCAAAAAATCAATCAATCAATCAATCAATTCTCCCACCTTTCCTTTTGGAGATAAAGCTGGGTTGGTTGCTATTGTGTTGTATTTTTTTGTCTTATCTATGCTAACGTGGGAATGTCTTGGGTTTGCAGAGTTTCAGTTGCATGGCCTGTGAAGACAGTCTTTGCCCAGAGGAAGGAAAGTGGCTCCAGGACTCTGTTGGAGGCATAACTGGGTACAGACAGAAAGGCTCAGATCCCAGACTTCATGATTCTGGGGCAAGTCTCGACCACCCTCCCCCTAAAGATGATGAAAGAATGTGGAACAGAAACCGCTTCCCAGGTGGAACGTTTCCTAAACCTGTGTCAGGCAGAAGAGAAAAAGCAGCAGCAGCAGAAGGTGATGATCTATTAATTCTGGGTGCTCAGTGTGTGAAATGGACAGTCCGTGGCCACTCCTTCCCTTCTCACTGTCAGTTTTGTGGCTGTTCTGGTTGCATCGCTCCACCAATCACATATTGTCCTTGAAATCTAGATGCATGGGCTGAGTGCATCATGTTTCGAAACCAAAAGAGTGACTATCCTTGACATGTGGGAGGCCTCTTTGCACTTTAAAACAAGGTGTGTCCTGCTTGTGTACCTAGTTTTCTAAGGAAACAGCAGGTTTGCACATTATCCCGTCAGGGAGGGATGGTTCACAATCCTAGTTTTCTAAGGAAACAGCAGGTTTGCTTCTACTATTTGCACATTATCCCGTCAGTGAGGGATGGTTCACAACTAAGTTTGCCCACAGCTACTCTTAAGAGATAGGAAAATTTCTTGAGGAAATTTGAGGATGAGGTCCCCTATCCCCCACGTTCTTGCCTCATCACTGAGCTCTTTGCCTCTAACTTTTCTGTCTTCTTCCTTATCATGGATCCTCAGATGAGAAATCTCTTTGTAGAAGTTCAGCCTGATTTTCCCATGGCCGAGAAATGTCAGTTCGATGCCAAACAGAGTCCCCAGTGATGAGAGATCCAGTGAAGGTGTTGAGGTGTCAACTTGATAGACAAGGATTAATGCTAGGAAGGTGTTTGTTTTTCCCTATGTGAAATGAAAGGAAGGTCTTTGAATATTTTCCTTCCAATTATTTGGAGATGAGGGCACAGAGGCACAATTCTTTAGCTCTTTCCATACTTCCAACCTGCATTTTGATTTTTGATTTTTCAAGATTTTTTTATAGAGCAACCAGTTCCTCCATTTCTGTCCAGGAGGTCAAATACAAAGAGTTGTGTCTACACCCATCTGAAATGGATCAAGTGTAAAATAAAATAGGATAGGAGAGATCCTGATGCAAATCCAAATTTATCCTCCCATGCTTGAATGATTGGTACTTATTTGTTTGTCTGTTATATTCATATTCCAAATTTCTTCTGAGGTGCTCATACCTGTTCTTCCTTATTACCTCACCTCACAACTATTCTCTGAGGTTGGTCAGGCTGAGAGACACCTAATGGTTCTCTGTCACCCAGTTGGTTCAGCATGGACCAGAATGGGGATCACCCAGTCCACTGCCCCATAACCTAACACAGTGGATCCCAGACATTTTGGCATCACACCCCATTTTTCCTTCTTGAGGAATACTCATGTTTCCCCCATGTTTTATTTACCATCATCCACATTTTTTAAAAAAAAGTTTGTAATTTAAAAGCCCACAAGATATTCCATGAATGGGGATAGCAAGAATTACTTTCCTCTCCTCTCCTTATTCCCTTGTTCTTCAAAGATTTCCCTCCGTCTGTTTTCTTGTGGAAGAATGAAGAGTATAAAGGGACCCTTGCTGGATCAGACCAAAGGCCAATCTAGTCTGACATCCTATATCTCACAGAGGCTCCCTAGATGTCTCCAGGAAGGCATGTCAGCCACTAGCAGCCTTTTCTCTCCTCCGTTGTTTCCCAAGAACTGGGATTCAGAGGCCTCTCTTCCTGGAGGGAGCATCTAGCCAAGATGACTTGATAAACTTGACCTTCAATAATAAGGCTGTGAAGGGCTTTCATTAAAGTTAAAACCTACAATATAAAATGCAGCCACTTCTCTTTCCTTGTTCTTTTGAATTTAAGAGGTTATCTTAAACTTATGAGGAGGGCCTGGTTTCTTTTCTTATTTAGGGTCCAGTGGCCTTTGAGGAGGTGGCCGTGTCCTTCACCCAGGAGGAGTGGGCGCTGCTGGATCCTAGCCAGAGGGCCCTCCACCTGGAAGTCATGGAGGAGAACTGGCAAACGGTGTCTTCTCTCGGTAAGGCACACTCTTTCCCCATCGGATGCTAATCTCTCTTGTTCCTGATGCAATACAGTAATGACTAGTAGCAATAACGGCAACAAGTGAACTGCTGGATAGCTCAGTGGCTTCGGTCTCTGGCTGTGGAGCCAGAGTTTGGGAGTTCAGTTCCTCACTGTGCCTCCTGGAGAGGGGCTGGACTGGATGATCCATAGGGTCCTTTCCATCTCTGCGGTTCTAAGGTGGGGGTTAATAACTCTTCCATGTTGGAGTGATATCCTAACTCACACTAGCCACTGTGAAATCCCTAATGCCAGACTGAGTAACCTCCTACTCTCCATACTCCAACTCCCATCATTGTAGCCAACTTTGCAAATGTTGCAATCATGCTGAGAATCATCAGTGTCTGAAGAGTGACGTTTCTCAGACTGTACTAGTAGATTCTAGAGAGGTGCAGCTCTGATTGGGGTTTTTGTTCTGACAATTAATTGTGGGAGCATTTAATAAATAATAATAATTTTAGTAGTCTAGAGCTGGAAGGAACCCTATGAATCATTACATCCTCCTTTTAAAGGAGACACAGTGGGGAATTGAACTTTCAATCTAAACCGCTGAATTACCCAGGAGTTGGTAGATTCCTGCTGATGGCATGATGATTTAATAACACGACTACCAATGACAAGAGGTTTTCTGAACTGCATTAGAAAAACTGGTGATATTCTGAATTAATATAAGTGACAAATTCATCTTTTCTCATTTGTAACTCATTGTCTTTAATTGTATTTTAAAACTCCCATCCATGTTTTAGAGCAGCTAAAAGTGTATGTTAGAATACTGTGAGAATTGAGAATGTTGCATTCCACCCTACAACTTTAGAAAGTATCTTGGAAATACAGAGATCAGAAACACAAAAATGCAAACTTGCTAAGTTGCATGGCGTGATGATTTAGTAAGATAACTAACAACAGGGGCCTTTTTGAACTGCCCTTTAAAAAAACTGGCCGTAATCTGAATTAATACCCTTTTCACTTAGGAAATCAGTGCTTTTTACATGAATGTGAATCCACTTGTGCTCCGTGATTTAGTTTTAAGGCGGCATTTCTAGGATTTTGATCTTAGCCTGAAAGAAGCTGATGTGACTGGCTTCCTACTCCTTTTGTCTCCCCTGCAGAGTCCATAAGGATGCCAGCAGCAGGTATTTCTTCGTCTGTTCCTTGTGGTGGAGTAGAACCAGATCAGGTATGGACAAGGCGATTAAAAAAAAAACCCTTAGGTATATGAATCCCTGTGTATTCACCCACTTGATTGCTGAATGAGGCTGGCCTTTCCTTTTTCATGAAGGGCTTCTCCTCTTCCACACTTATATAGCCTGCTGGTATGCCATGGTGTGTTGTCCGTGCAGGGCATAGCACTTATTACGGTCTATCTGGTTGTTGCAAAAGGGGAAGAATGGTTTCTCTTCTGTTTTGAAGAATGGCCCAAGATCTTTGAGTTGTGTGAGATTTTTCAGAAATGAATATGGGGACAGAAGCGATGATTTTATTCTCCCTATCCTCACATTCTGAATAGCCTCTGTTTTCTTGTGGGGGAGCTAAGACTGTAAGAGGAGTCATGCTGGGTGAGAGCAAAGGCCAACCTAGTTTGACATCTTGTTTCTCTCAGAGACACCCTAGATACCTCTCTTGGAAGATCCAAGTCAGGCAGGCCACCCATGGCCCTTTCCCTCCCTCCTTTGTTTCCCAACAACTGGGATGCGGAGGCCTTTCTTTTTTGGAGTGACCACATAGCTGAGATGACTAGAAGCCCTTGGTAAACTTGTCCTCTAAAAGAAAGGCTGTGAAGGCCATTAATAATAGTTAAAACCTACCTTATAAAAGTCAGGCACTTCTCTTTAAGAGATTATCTTTATGAATCCTACGAGGGAGCCCTGTTTCCTCTTTTATTTAGGGTCTACTGACTTATGAGGAGTTGGCTGTGTCCTTCACCCAGGAGGAGTGGGCATTGCTGGATCCTGACCAGAGGGCCCTGCACAAGGAAGTCATGGAGGAGAACTGGCGAATGTTATCCTCTCTTGGTAAGGCTCTCTTTCCCTGGCTGATGCTAATCTCTGTTGTTTCTGGTACACTAATGTAGAACATGTAGTTTACACAGGCTCTTAGATGCCGTATTTAAGAAACTGACAGGGAGGGGAAGGCTGCTCTAAATATGCTGGAGTGCCAACCACATAGTTCCTAGTCAACAAAAAAAAACACCAAAAAAAGAGCAGTTTGTACAAGTGTGTCAGGCAGTTGCCACATGCCTCACTTTTGTGAATGCTCTGATCTGTGACTTGCCAGTTAATTTTGGAGCAGTCTCTATAAACAATGAAGTCAACAACCATCCTGGCCTTTCCTGCCCTGACTGGTTGCTACACTCTGTGCTGCCACATGGCCAGATTTGTTCTTATGGGGGTTGTGCAAAAAAACAACAACATCATCCTGTAGCATGTTAAACTAAAACAAAATCAGGGCAGGGTAAAAGAACAAGATGCAAAGATGCTAATACAGTTCGTAGCTCATAATAAAAACAGGCCTTCACCTGAATTCTGAAGGAATGCAACAGTGGTATCAGGTGACCATTAAAGAAAACATGTAGTTTTGCTTGGAATTCTTAGGTTTGTCTGTAGATATTATGGCAAAATTAAAGAGGGAAAAATAACAATATTTTGTGGCACATAAAAGAATAGCACATTCGTTCCTTGTGAGCTTTCAGGAACCAAAATATACTTCTTCAGAAAACCTTTCTTTTTTCCTCCTTAGAATTGTTCGACTCTTCAGTTCAGTCTTTTCTGCATTCGTCTTTCTTTCCAGAAGATATGTCAAAGGAGAAAAATGTACGTTCCAAGTGTGAAAAGAGTTGTACACAAAAATTAGACTTTGCTGGACACCAGACAACCCACAGAGAAGAACAAAACTTGATCCGAGAGAAGCCTTATGAAAGCATCGTGTGTGGAAAACATTTTGCCATGGTATTTCACGTAAGAGTCCACACTGGAAATAAGAATTTTGTAAGTGAAGTATCAGAGGACCATTTAGAACAGAAGTTACACTTTCTGAGACATCAAAGAGTCTGCACAAGAGATAAACTGTACAAATGCCAGGAGTGTGGGAAATGTTTTGCTAAGAATTCAAACCTTGTGAGCCATCAAAGAGTCCACACAGGAGAGAAACCGTACAAATGTGAGGAGTGTGGAAAGTGTTTTGCACAGAATTCACATCTTGTGAGGCATAAGAGAATCCACACAGGAGAGAAACCATACAAATGTCTGGAGTGTGAGAAATGTTTTGCTCGGAGCTCAGAGCTTGTAAGGCATAAGAGAGTCCACACAGGAGAGAAACCGTACAAATGTGGGGAATGTGGGAAATGTTTTGCCCACAATTCAAAGCTTGTGAATCATAAGAGAATCCACACAGGAGAGAAGCCGTATAAATGCCAAGAGTGCGGGAAATGTTTTGCTCAGAATTCAGAGCTATTGAAGCATAAGCGAGTCCACACAGGAGAAATACCACATGAATGCCAGGAGTGTGGGAAATGTTTTACCCAGATTTCAAAGCTTGCGAATCATAAGAGAGTCCACACAGGGGAGAAACCATACAAATGCCAGGAATGTTTTACATGTTTTGCTAATAATTCAATGCTTCTGAGTCATAAGAGAGTTCACACAGGAGGTAAACCATACAAGTGCCAGGAGTGTGGGAAATGTTTTGCTCAGATTTTATACCTTGTGAATCATATGAGAGTCCACACAGGGGAAAAACTATACAAATGCCAAGAGTGTGGGAAATGTTTTGCTCGGAACTCACAGCTTGTGAATCATATGAGAGTCCACACAGGAGAAAAGCCATACAAATGCCAGGAGTGTGAAAAATGTTTTGCTCGGAACTCACAGCTTCTGTTTCATAAGAGAGTCCACACAGGAGAGAAACCGTACAAATGCCAGGAATGTGGGAAATGTTTTGCTCAGAGTTCACAGCTTCTGATTCATAAAAGAGTTCACACCGGAGAGAAACCATACAGATGCCAGGAATGTGGGAAATGTTTTGCTCAGAATTCACAGCTTCTTATTCATAATAGAGTCCACACAGGAGAGAAACCATATGAATGCCAGGTGTGTGGAAAATGTTTTGCTCAAAAATCACTGCTTGTGAGTCATAAGAGAGTCCACACAGGAGAGAAACCATACCAATGCCAGGAGTGTGGGAAATGTTTTGCTGAGAGCACAAAGCTTGTGAATCATAAGAGAGTCCACACGGGAGAGAAGCCATGCAAATGCCAGGAGTGTGGGAAATGTTTTGCCCGGGGCTCAGATCTTGTGAAACATATTAGAGTCCACACAGGAGAGAAACCATACAAATGCCATGTTTGTGGGAAATGTTTTGCTCAGACTTCACAGCTTGTGACTCACAAGAGAGTCCACACAGTAGAAAAACCATACTGTGAGGGAGTGCAGGCACGTACTCTTAGGAAGCAGTTTGTCCTCAGCACACAAGTAGCAGACAGCCAAGAGAAGGCTCAGTTGCCTCAGCATCAGGCTGGTTGGCTGGAGTCCCTGCAGCTTCAGGAGAAACAGTGTCCTGATGTGATACAGCTGCAGGAGGTAGGATCAAGTCAAATAAAAGAGCAAAACTGGGAAGGCAGGTGGTTTCTCCCTATCGTGGAAGAAAATATACATAAGGATGCCAGAAGCTGTCTACCCTCACCAGGTTTATTGGCTTGTGACAGGAGCCAGGCAGCAGAGACTCTACCCGTGAGCTTGGATGCCACTGCCACAACTCTGGAGAGGGAAGTGAGTGAAGGGACCAGGAGACACGAGCTGCAGAGATTGAGTTCTTACACTTGTTTATACTAGCCATCTCAAAATAATGTGTGTCCTAGACTTACGCTTTTTCCTCCTTCCTGAACCTGGACTCTAGAATTCCAGTGAATCTAACTGTACCCTCAAGATGGCACATAGTTTAGAGACTGTAATTTGACCCTGTAGGACAGTGCAGGAAAAGGCAGAGGGAACTGCTGCTGTAAACCTAATAAAAACTGTTACGAGTCAAGAAGCTGAGCTGCAGCTCATCGTTATTGACAATGAACCCCAGCTCTGCTGGTGAAAGGACCGCCGGGGGGTGCACATGTACAAATGCCAGGAGTGTGGAAAATATTTTGCTCATAAGGTACACCTAGCAAATGATAGAAATGCCAGGAGTGTGGGAAATGTTCTGCTTAGAATTCACCCTTTGTGGGCCATCAGAGAATTCATGGGGGAGAGAAACCCTTCAAATCTCATTAATATACAAAATATTTTATTCATGCTTCATATTCCAAATGTTGTGAACCACCAGAGACTCACTGCAGGAGACAAAACTATAGAAATAATAGGATTGAGGAAAATGTTTTATTTCCCATGGAGACTGCAGGGATTCAATAAAGGCCAAGCTCTTGGGCTGAATAAACTGGAGGAGGGACCAAAGCTGTAACTACTAATTTCTGCTGTCCAGAGCTTCACATGATATTGATATACAGAGGGAGGGGATGGAGGAATTGGGAGAAATGCCTGTTTCAGGGCATACAATGACCACATGGGTTCTGCACTGAGTCTATTTTATGTACGTTTTCTTCTACCTGACAAGAGGCTGGATAGGGTATCTGTGCTTGGGATAAAGCAAGTTCAAACTATGTATTCTTGAAGGCTTTCACGGCCGGGATCTGATGGTTGTTGTGGGTTTTTCGGGCTCTTTGGCCGTGTTCTGAAGGTTGTTGTTCTTAACGTTTTGCCAGTCTCTGTGTGGCTGGCATCTTCAGAGGACTGGAGTAGGAACTCCGTCCATGCTCTGTTGCTGTTCAAACTCTTCCAGCCACCAATTGAGACCACCCCAAACAGCATCCCTCCGAAGTCCATCCTCTCTACCCTGGAAAGTGGTGGGAGTACAAGCTGCCAGGGCAAAAATGAAGAGCCCCCCGACCCTTGGACAAGAGAAGGAATGTGTAGAGAAAAAGACAGGGAAATTAGGAAGGAGAGGGGATGAAAAATATAAAGGGGAAAGATGGGTAGAAGGACGAGAGAGAAACATCTGGTACAGTTGAAACAAGCAAAGAATGGTATTACCTGTGGGCTGGGAATGGATATGGCTGGAAAACCTCTTAAGTGGGAAAAGCTGATATTACCTAAAGAGAAGGCAGAAAAGAAGGAACTACAAACCACCCAGGAAAATGTTTTACTGCCAGTGGAGTAAAAAGATCAGAGGAAGGAGCCTGCATAGATTAAAGAAAGGGGAGAGTGGACAAACCCACGCAACAGAACTGCCTTCCTAGGGAAGCCCAAGAGAGAGAGAGAGAGTTGTGAGGAGACGAAACACTCCCCATGTTTTGTTCCTGCTGTTGTCAATGGACCCCTATAAGACGCAAAACTTGAGGAGTGAGGAGGTCTGAACTAATTATTCCGTTAACCCCTTCCTCTCCCCGTTGGAGAAAAATGATGAACCCGCTTTGTTAGAGACTGTTAATACGCTGAGAAGTAAACGTTGATGATTTTAAAGCAAGAACGAGTGTCTGAAGTATCTGTCGGGCGGGAACAAAGACAACAAAAAAGGGGGGGGGATGAATAAAGAGCCAAAAACACACAGGCAACGATCAGAAGAACTCCAGGCAGCTGAGAAGAAAGGTCTGCTCCTCATTAAAAAAAATTATTTTTTTAGAAACGATAAACACTAGAATTGTGGCTTCTTATTTAAAAAGCAAATTCTTGCTTGTGAGGCCTTCAGGGAGCAGTAATTAAACTCTTTTCTGAGGAAAAAAAGCACCAGGGGGAGCTGTGGGTTCAAAAAAAACACCCAACAACACAGGAAGGTGCATACATGCAGAAGGCCATTTTGCACGCTGGAGCTTGGTGGGTTTCCCACCTGCGGCCCTGCCGCTTGCTTCTCCCAAACCCATTCCAATCATCATCTTCAGGAGTCTGAAAATAAGTAACTCCACGGCTTATCGAAAAATTCTACTTGACTCTTCGACTCAAAAAGACGCGGGAGAAACAAGTCTTGAATTGGGTTTTCTTCAACCTTTGTTTCTCTCGCTTCTTTTAAAACATTGGGTCCTCGCCTTCCTTTCCAAAATCCGCTTCTCTTACGCCTTTTTACCGCCTGCCTTCCCAACCTCTTCCCGCTCTGGGAAGGGCGCTGAACCAAGTGTCCCCCTACGTGGGAAACCACGCTTCTCCCCTCAACTTTCTCGTCCCCGTAACAGCTTCCGACGTTTCTCGCGTGAGAGGAGAACCCTGAGAGGAGCAGGGTTACTTTCTCGTCCCTGTAACAGCTTCCGACGTTTCTTGCGTGTCCCCCCCTCCTCTTGGGTCTTCGGCGAGGCGAAGAAGAATAACGGTTCACATTCCTTCCCCGATTACTGTTTTGACCAGAACCGTCTCCTTGCTTTATTCTCTCTTTCTCCCCAATCAGAAGGTCCGGGTGGAGGTGTGTTTTTTTTTTAATAGGGTATTCTTTCTGATTTAGGAAGCTTTAAAATCTACCGTGGGCTTCCCTTCCCGTGGGCGCTCCTCTCACGGGTTTTTCCTCAACCGTCTCTTTCAAGTGTCAAATCCCCAACTGCATCCTTCCAAGCTTGCCTTGCATATAATTTTCTACTGAGCCAGGAAAAGTACTGTATTGAGACACCCGGTGTGAGATTTAATAGGGTATTCTTTCTGATTTAGGAAGCTTTAAAATCTACCGTGGGCTTCCCTTCCCGTGGGCGCTCCTCTCACGGGTTTTTCCTCAACCGTCTCTTTCAAGTGTCAAATCCCCAACTGCATCCTTCCAAGCTTGCCTTGCATATAATTTTCTACTGAGCCAGGAAAAGTACTGTATTGAGACACCCGGTGTGAGATGTAGTGGAGGGAATGATAGAAGAGGCCTGGGTTCAAATCAAAACTGCATAGAAGAGGCCTGGGTTCAAATCAAAACCACATAGAAGAGGCCTGGGTTCAAATCAAAACCGCAGTGAGTTGTGGCAACTCACGGTGGAAGTGGAACTAGTAAAACCACTCCTTAAATATTTCACTTGAAAACCCTAGTAGGGTTAAGGGCACCAACAATAAAGCTTGATGAAGTGGGTTTTTTTTTACCTATTTGCATATATCATATGATAATATCTTTAGTGGTCTATAAAGGTATCACGTATTCTTGCATTTGAACCATAAAGGTATTTCTCAGAGTGGAACTTTCACTGCCATTTTCTCATACGAGGAGTTCCAAAGAAGACAATAAAGGCATGGGGAGATTTGGAAGGATGCCGTGGTGGATTTAACGGGTGAAGAAAAACTGTGAGAGGAGCAGCAGTTTGCAGTGAAGGACGGTCCGTGGGCAGGGAAGCCCACGGTAGTTTTCAAGCTGCCTAAATCAGAAAGAATACCTATTATTAGAAGCCCCTCACCCGGACCTTCTGATTGGGGAGAAAGAGAGAATAAAGGATGGAGACAGTTCTGGTCAAAGCAGTAATAGGAATGTGAACAGTTGTTCTTCTTCGCCTCGCCACAGACCCAAGAGAAGGAGGGGAAACACACGAGAGACGTTGTCGGAAGCTGTTACGGGGACGAGAAAGTTGAGGGGAGAAGCGTGGTTTCCCACGTAGGGGGACACTTGGTTCAGCGCCCTTCCCAGAGCGGGAAGAGGCTGGGAGGCAGGAGGTAAAAAGGCCTAAGAGAAGCAGGATCTTGGAAAGGAAGGAGAGGAGCTGATGTTTTAAAAGAAAATCTTTAAAAAAAAAATGTTTAAAAGAAACAAAGGTTGAAGAAAACCCAATTTAAGACTTATTTCTCCCGTGTCTTTTGAATCGAAGAGTGTCGTTGAGAAGTAGAATTTTTCGATAAGCCGTGGAGTTACTGACTTATTTTCACTCCTGAAGATGATGATTTGGAATGGATTTGGGTGAAGGAAGCAGCAGGTGGCTGGAGTTTTGTGTTAATGGGAGGGTCCCACAGGAGCTTCTGACCCTTTTGACTGAATACTGTATACTCTTATTTATCAGGGACACGTTGTGTGGAAAATATGATCTCTGCGTTCAGCTCTGGTCTTTGGCCAACGCAATCTCCTCGGGGCAGGGACCTGTCATCTTGCATGTTGTGAAACACCCTGGAAACACTGTGGAAATTGGTAGTACCCAGAAAGGTCGGGTGGCTTAAATGAGTGAAGAAATGCTAGGCTGCACATGGTAATCACAGGAAGCAGGAATAATTTGACGCAGGGGTTGTTGGGAGTTTTTTTTTAAAAAAGATAAAGTTTTGGAGGCTTTGCAGATGACTTGTCTCCCTGACAAGTCATGCTTTTTAAAAAGGTTTGTTTTCTGCCAGATTCAAGGAAACAGATTCTGCCAGATTCAAGGAAACAGAGAGCAAGACTCCCCATCCATGCACTCCGAGAGGAGATTGGGCGAGTCTGTGCTTCCCTTGCCAGGAG